AGTAAAACCTGTCTAAATTAAACATGTTGGGACTGGGGGCAGTGTTTAATTTAGAGAGTTTTAAATTAAACAGGTTTAATTTAGACAGGTTCTACTGTAATACTCATAAATGCACGTACACCATAATAGGGAGCATATCCCACTGGGGTGACACTCATTTCGCTTAATAGTTAGACAGCGCGCATATAGCGAAAGCGATAAGAGTACCACTGAGCAAAATAGTCACTCTCCAACAGTACAGAATTAGTGTAATATCATGCGAGCACTGATTGCGCAGTGAATTTCTTCCTATTCTAGCTTCGTTACATTTATGAATCGGCGATCCACCAAGACAGATGCGGCCCGTGCGGTCGACGTCATGAAGACCTTGTTTGAAGGTATGTGCCGATGAGAGTGGTCACAATAACAGCTCTAGGTCCCGATACAACATCGACCCCTTATATGGGAAAAGTTTTTCCCTTTCCCCTTCCACGACAACTTCTTCGAGGATGATACTGCGCCTTACCTCTGCGCGAGTTTGGCACACCTGCTCGTTGCAACCGGGTTGCCGCGCACCTTGCATAGATAAAGCTTCGACTCAAATAGTCCGTGTACACAACGTGCATGGGCTGGATTGTATGCTCCCCATAACCAAAGGCATCGTTTGTGGCCAGTGCATTTGTTTGCTCTGATACAATATATGAGGACCACAATTTCAGTGTGACATAGACATAACTAATTTATGCCCTGATCAAAACGTTTTTGAAATGTCAAGTTGCACAAATATCAAGTAGATGACCATGTCACTATCCGGACAACAACTGACATCGCTGTTGAAGGGTAATGCATGCATATTCATATGCCTCATGGACCTTTTATCTGGTCGGGGGCATTCAGTTTCTCTTTGAAGATTGTTCGGCCACCACATCCTAGTTTTGGTCAAATGCGGTTCTACAGACATCATTGATGTGAGTCTTGCTATTTTAGTAAGACCCAAATAATTAATTAGAGCACGCGAGTGCTCTGTATATAAAGTTGCTGCGCTTGAGACGTTGTCGCACTGAAGATCTACGCCAAAATCAACATACGCCTTTATATAAGTAGCAATACCTATAACAGTCTTGTTACACATGTATCGCACGGACCTCTGTCTGATAGACTTTGCTAGAACCACTACTTTGGTGCCTCCAAACTCTGTATAAATACACAGAAATGTAAGCTTTACAAGACAACTTCAGCAAGTGGGCGTCCGCTTTGAACATCGTCTCATGCTTGAATGTGCAGGTATAAGCCCAACACGAACGACGAGGTGACAACCTAGTTGCTTCTGTTGCTATCTGCCCCACTCGTATCCGTAAACACCTGTAACAACTATCGATTAAGGGTATTTATCACCGCGAGGTACGACGCCTCTCAAAGTGGTATTGCTCTGTGACGGGCGTTCTTGTCTTTACTTCACGGAAAATAAAGTCCAAGGGTGCACCGTGTTGTAAGCGGTCGCGGTACCAGGGCATTCTTGCCGCAGTGGAGCCAAAAATCATAATTGTTTTTGACTGAGGGTAACCCTTCCACCTAAGAAAATACTGGTAACAACGCTGGTGCACCTACCGCTAAACGCTCAAAGTGAAAGTGGGTCTGTCATCGCGCGGCAGGCTCTTGAAAGCTTTCTCTGATATGGCGGCACGTCGACTCTTTCCGGGAATCACGGCATGCTTACGAGGTTGAGATGAATCAGACCTCGTATTTATTTCTGATTTTGTCAACGCAATACGCATCTTAAGTGGTCCAGAGCGTCGCTGCAATTAAGCAGAGGGTAGTTTAGATTCATTTAATGGCAAAGACGCTGCTTCGTCTGCACCATAGCTCTTCCCGTCTGACTAGATCATATAGGCGAGAACGGTATGCCTTCAGTAAGTCTGCATAGAATACTGGGGGTGGATGCATTCGCTTTGATTTAATCAGAGTTCACCTCATTCTCCTTTTTTACAACAACCGCGAACGGTACGATATAGCTCGGTCGTATCTTGGCTGTCTAGGCCATAGATGCTGCATGTGTAGGAAATCGGTTGCATTCAATATAGACTTTCACGCCATGACATATTCATGTGTGTCCAGCCGGCCCCTGGCATCGGCATGTTGCTTTTGTTTGTCTTGGCTCTGGGTCATAGAGTCGCACATTCTGCGCATGTCGCTCAACCTCATCAAGTTAAGGTCACTGATATTGCTGAGAAAAGCACCAAATTTGTATCAGCAAGTCGATTCTAATCGACAATTCGTCCCCTGCTAAGACTTTGTGGCGGTATCAAAGACTCCCGTGGATTCAGCAAGCAATTTTTCTAAAATGAGCTACAGCCTGTAGAGACATGTACTGCATTTTTGTTGGGAAACTCAGTGAGTGAGAGCAACTCGCTTCAGCACCACAGTCCCTCCACACAAGTTTATCAAAGAATTTCTCTACGCCAAATATGCTTTTTGTCCGACCATCTATTTGCGGGTGGTCAACGGCTGGCATACCCAATCTCAGCAGAGTAATTTAATTTTTTTCATAAATCTTCAATAAAGCGTGAATATTATTCCGATAAAATGGCTATCGTATGCCATTTTGGCGAAATACTATGTCGAGGAACGATTTTGCTAAATATCTATCGGTCACATTATCGTTGACCTTAATTCAGTATACCCTTCTACTTAGACGTTTTATGAAGACCATAATACCAGTGATATCGGAGAAAACTGAGAATAAAACTCATTCTAATGAATTATCCGCACTTTGTCGAAACCGTCAGGTTGGCCAAAGGTGCAGCCATATACCTTGTAGGTTAGCTCGGTGACACGTTTCACACACGCGTAATGTGCGCGTACCCACAGATCCATGTTGGACTACCAATACATAATGCACAGCGAGAAGTGTGTCTTTTCTCTTTCAAGATGGCTGCCCGAAACGGTACCATGTGCCTCTCCAGATTTTGTCTTGAGGTCCTCATCATGATGCACCACTGCACGCTGAGTGTCACAAGCCGTAGTATGAAGCATAGCTCTGTAAGCTTGCAAACGAGCGCTTCAATGAAGCAAAAACTGCCCTCTCAAACTCCTTGCTTTTCGAAGCTCTCAGCAACGCAACACATGGCGCGTTTGACGCGTATTGCAGCGGGGCTGTCATAGCTTTGCGCTTTGAGGAAGCGTAATTTAGTTCACCGACCTTTCGTTCTATACTTAGAACAAGTACGAGTTTAGCGGATCGCAATCCGCTTACTCCAAAGATAAACTGAACCCAAGGCTTATTAATTACTCTTCCATTTAAATCAAAAACTGACTTAATTTATTTTTATCTGCGGCAAAGCCGCCTACTTTTGATTTATAAAATTTCCTAACTATATATAGTAAAATCTAAATACATGCATAATTACTGGCTACCCAGCCATGTAT